CTATCGTTCTTCGAATCGATGGACGTATTGACGCCAGCGCAACACGGCTCTACGAAAGGGCGATCCTGCATCACCAACTTGATGTACGCAAACCACCAGTGGGTACGAGCTCTCAACGAACGAAAGGATGTTGACGTGGTATACATTGACTTTAGTAAGACGTTTGACAGAGTGAACCACGAGGTACTCATTGATAAACTGAGGACATACGTAATCAGTGGCACGTTACTTCAGTGGTTACACGAGTTTATTGTGGGACGAAAGTTTAGAGTACAGGTCAGTGACTACTTGACAGACTGGTTCCCATCGACTAGTGGCGTGCCTCAAGGAACGGTACTTGGGCCGGTATTATTTCTTATTCAGATCAACGATCTTCCGCAGCAGCTCCAGTCCCCATGTGCCCTGTTTGCAGATGATTTGAAAATTATTGAGAACCAGGGCGACTGCGCTGGCCTCTAGCATGATTTAGAGCGACTGTCAACGTGGTCCACCGAAATGCAAATCCTTAACGCAAGCAAGTCGGAGTTCATCAGTATCACCAGACGTCCAGCCGCTCGATCATACACCTTGGACGGCCAGTTGCTCCATCCCAACACATCTGTCAGAGACTTAGGAGTTCTCTCACGATATGATTTAAGATCACTAGAAAATACAGAGGAATTGTACCGTGCGGCACTTCGTATCCTCTGGGCATTAAGACGGAGTTTCTCCACATGGTCCGAAGAAACCGCCTCTCGTCTATTCACCTCGCTCATTAGACCAATCCTTGAATACGGTGCCCCGGCTTACCATCCGATAACCCAATGGGAAACTGAAAAGCTGGAGAAAATACAGCATATCGCAACTAGAATGATACCGAGTTTACAAAAGCTTCCGTATAAAAAACGTTGTGAAGGGCTCGGACTCTACACACTATCCTATCGCTGAGTAAGAATTGACCTTATTATGACCCATCGAGTACTACACTTAAATCACTTCTCATACTGAGGCCAATATTTCACCTGCGCGGATTCTGTAACACCCGAGGACGCCGTTACAAACTCAGGGTCCCTACCATGAAAAAAGTATCACATCAGCTTTGTATCAAACGAAGAATCGTAAACTTATGAAATACACTACCCGAAGGATTATTGGAGGCCGATTCTGTGAAGTGTTTTAAAACGCGTATTGACGACTATTTCGAAAAACTGTGCTTTTGTGAAGCGATGCACAAACAATGCCAAAAGAAGTCATTGTATGCCCGGAAATAATGACACTAGTACAAATTCCTAACTGAGAAAGGATAAACGATTAACGGACCAGACAAAACTGCTGATGATTCACAACTAAATGTTTTTGATTTTTCGTAATTCGATAGAGTTGTACAGAAACCTTTCTACTTGCTCTTACATACAGTCTCAGTCTCACACTTACTGATGTGGCTAGGAGCCGGCCCCAATGGCGTTTATGTTGTGTGTTCCTTTGTTCATCCCCCTCCCGCTTAGCCTACCCCTTCATTCACGATCTCATTCGTTAGGCGTAATAAAACTTTTCGGCACGATAGTCGCCTGTTAGCTCTACGGAACGATGCCCATCCGTTACTGGGATCTCAGCCGGCGTCTCTCTTGTTCTTTTCTTCTTGTCTTTTGTATTGCGGCACAATAGCTGAAGTTTTTTCCACCTGCAGCTAATGTGTATAAGGATGATGATTGTTGGAGGTGAAAGCAAAACACAGGTATACTTGTGTAACCGTTCATAACTGTAGACTAGAGTTTTTTCTGTGTTGCAGAACATTTGTTACTACCGCTTGTTACAACCCCTCACACGTCCCGTGGTTCTTTGAGATCGATAAATTCAAATTAGCCCTCAGCCGTGATTGGAACTGATTTTAGAGTGTTTTAAAAAGGGACTCCTTGTATTCGATTGCTTTGCGGTTAGGTTTTTGACTCAGGCTTTGGTTGTGAACGCTACTCTTTCTCCTGTCTAGGTCTGGGCATTCTGAAAATATCCCGCCCACGCAATACTATGAACCTTTCCACGAACAATTTTCTGATGCTCCTGCCACCGCAGAGCATATTTAACGGCGACCTCTGCTGCATCGAGCATGGTGGATAGGGGATTTGCATGTTACTGCTCATGCCTTTCCGTCTTCTTATTCACCCTCCCAAGCTTTTTCACTCCTCTTCCCGTTCCAACCACTTTTCTCCCCTCTGTTTTCTTTCATCCATTTCTTAGTCATCTCCCCATCATGCTTTGATGCGCGGGTAACATTCTAGTTTTAACTCACATGCAGACGCATACCGTCACTCCTGCCCTATCGACAAACCCATCTCTAACTGTTAAATTTTCCCACTTGCTGGAATTCCGAAACATGCACTTAACCCATACCGCGCGACCTCATGTTCAGACGAAGGAAAAACTCAAAACGGCTTTGTACAAAATAATGTTTTAACCGGATTCAAACTGGAACTGTACAAAAACGGCAGACTGTGATCATATGTAGGTCGCCTCATGACCTTTGACTACTATAATTAGCTGGTCACCTACCAAAGTTAGCGGTGCCACGCTGATCCAGCCAATTTTCAGGAGAAAGTCAGTCACGTGCAGGTGTTGGAACATTCCAGTAAGTTCCAACTCGATCCGATAGTCGATTGCAATCGACGAACCATTGAAGTAATTGGTTTTCCGGGAAATTTTTACTTTTTCCCGGACACTAACCAAGCGGTCAAGTCCAGTCCATCGGCTTGTATTTGAAACCCCATACTCCTCCCTCAGATTGGCGTTCCTGAACGTACGCTTATTGTTGCAGATGGTCAACAGGAATCACTTGCCCGAGCATCATAGACCCTCACAGTTGATATCTGCTGCCTATCGGAAACCCGCCTCCAAGACTCGAGCTATGTGCTAGCTCTACGACCCTCTTCATGTGACACTAACGGTGTTTTCTCATTGCGCCTATCCGGAGATGATGCAGCTTCGAGTGCCGTCTAAGCCGGTGTTAGTAATGCCCTGAGTTCCCGGGCTGAAGCTGCTCTGGTTGAGTAAATCCCAATCAGTAGCCGGATATGCGCGATCCGACTAGCTGGTTAGTTCAAAGCGTCGAAGTCGAAAGGAGCTAATAGGTGCTTTTTTGTCATCGCTGAATACAGCCCTACAAACTGTTACGATGACCCGCACCAGAAAAAGTCGTCGAACACGCTTATTACTCGCTCATTGTTCCCACTAGAGATGACCTAAGCTAAGAAGTTCACCAAAAGCGCCCTGAAACTTCTGTATTTTTTGCGACCTCATTTTCTATTTCACGAGCATTTTTATAGTTGTCCCATTAGTGGAATTTCTATATGACCAATAGCTAGTGCCTAACAACTTTGGTAGACAGGTTTGCAATGTAAGGTTACGAAACACAGTCTGAAACGATTCACAGCCACATATGAACTGTCCAGTGCTTTTTGGCAGGTTTGTGAGCAGTCGCAGATTAGGACGATATTGTTGGCTTACTCCAAGTCGAGAAGTTGATCACCTGGGGGGAATTTCATTCCTAAGTCGAGTCTGGTGAACGCAGCTTTAAGGGCGAAGTTGAAAAGTAAGGTAACCGTTTGCCATGAGCCACCCACTCTGCTTGAACTAGCCCCCCGAAGCGCTCATGCAATGCTCGCGTATTTCCCGGATACACCTTTCCTCGTCGTCTGCCGCACACATCAAGACGTTTCTATCACCGATCGCTTGTAGCGATTAGTTTTAGTGAGCACTTCACTAAGCCGTCAGAGCATTCAGTGAATGCAGCCAATCAAAGCGGCTGAATGGCATGGCGGCCGCCCAGAAATTGGACTTTTCCTCCAGAACAACATACGAACATCGGTCTCCCTTTGTCCAAGTGTAGTAGAATATTATCTGGGATGGGTATTACATGGCGCTCTGCGCAGTTTTCCAGATGATTATATAGCCAACCCACAGAATCCATCGAATCCGGACATTCAAATCAACAAACGACCAGTCCTCTTTTGGGTCTAGAGGTGGATCCCAAAGCCCCACTGATGATGTCACCAAGCCTAGCAGCGAAACTTTGCAACCAAATGTTCTCCTCGGAGAACAACCAAAAACCTTCACAGAAGAACTTTTTCAACGGTTCCTGATCATTACACACGCGATTCGCCAGTCATTTTTTAATTGCCGCATTCTGACCCAGTCTGTCGGCTCGCCAGCTTTGGCAGCCACCTTCGCCCTAATCAATTTGCAAAATTCGGCAGAGGACCCGTCAAGCAATACGAACTGTACCGCACTACGTCGTAATGCAATCGGTCGCATCGAGGATCTTAGTGGCAAACGGGTAGTACCCTGAATTTCCAAAAATTACGGGATAAACACCGTCAGCTACTGGCGGTTAGCATCACTGTCCATCTACAAGCGTATGCAACACGTCCACGCTGCCTCACGGATTGGTTATGTTTATGTGAGCTACAATGGGTGTCCCTTTAGCTGACTTACTCGGAGAGAAACTCACTGGCCTAAAAACATCATTAATGAAAGCAGACGAATAAGGCACATCCAAGCGATTTGTCGGCAATCATGCCGTCGTTTCGATGAGTAAACCGCTCATCTCCGAAAAGTCAGCTTTTGCGATATGCTTCACTGACTGTTTTACATTATCAATCGTGCATGGATGGTGAATAGTTAGGGTAGCGAAACCTGCAGAGAAGCCCTTCCAATAATGCCATCTCATTGTTATACGATAGCCTTCTACATCGTGTTCAGAGTTCGGTACATGCATGAGTCCCGATCCTGATTGTTTTACTATGAACACTTAGGCTATTTCTAACCTGTCTTTTTCGCGTTTGTATTACCCATTCACAAGGTGATTTTATAGCAATGAAGATGACCACGGCGAATTTATACCTCGTTTCCTAAGACTAACTAATTTGAAGCTATCTGTTGCAAAAGATGTGTTGCAGGTATGACCTCTCATTTTCAAATATAACACAATGGAAAGCTTCGGGATTAAAAATTGTGTTGTTCACTTTCAGCGTTGTCATGGAATTGACTGGGATCGTGGTCGGTCACATATACTACTTCTTTACCACACAGTATCCTCAAGAATATGGTGGTCAAGCCCTCATAAAAACGCCCAGTTTCCTGTAAGTTTCTTCGTTTTTCTCAAGGCTATTTTTTTCACCCATTACTCTCCCTTTTGACGCACATTTCTGCATCCACATTTCAATTCATTCGATCTCGCTTTCCCTTTAGCTATCGCCTATTTCCCCTTCAACAAGGATTTGTTTCTGGGTTTGGCCAGGCACCTCGCGCTAGACAAACGGCTGCGGCTGCTCCATCCACCCCGCGCTTCCCAGGTCGAGGGCAACAGTTAGGTAGAGAAGATTGAACGGAAGTATCGTTACACAACTTCATCTCATCTCCTTTGTTTTTCTGACAGTGGATTTCACCTATCACCATACCTCCAGTTTTCGTTTTATCACCCTCGACGATAGGATTGCACTTTCGCCGTGAATAGGCCTCCATAATGTGTTCATTGTACATAAATAAATGATGTGATAAAGCGAACACGCAGTTTTGAACCTCATTCATCATTCGTCTCGATGATATGCCCTCGGAGTGATAGCTGACTTTCCAAGGTCGTCACGCACGATTAAACTCATGAGTGCGGTGATGTGCATTGTGCACTCTCGCTGATTGAATCGTCTAAGCGGAGAAATGGAATTCCCAGAACCTTGGTTGGTCGGTGACCGAGTGGTCTGCACATCTGGTTTGCAATCATAAGGTTACCGGTACAAATCCGCGTAGGGGCGGGCCTCCTCGCAGTATACTAGCCCACGCGCAACTGGTGGTGGTCGCGCGGCAGCGGAGAGCTGTTACGGCGTAGCGCTGACGATTCATTCAGCTAATAATTCGATCAACATGCGCATTGACATCGACCTCATGTACCAACAACTCAGCAAGATCCCCGGTGAATCGAAAGGCAGAGCTCGAAAAGAGATGCGCAGCGAACAAATCAACCTACCGTTTCAGCCACGGGAGATGGGCAACGATCATGGGGCGCAAATCGAATATATCTCTTTTAAACGTCACCTGCCTATCGACCACGAATGAGCGATTCAATCGGCGATATGGTACACTGCACTGGCTATGCCCCGTCGTATGGTGGCGAAAATTGTGTAACCACTTTATCAATCTCGGCAAACCGAACAACAGGTGGACAACCAACTCGGGTTACCATTGTTCCAAATTAATTCGAATTCATGAATCATTTCTCATATGGCACATTTTTACCTTCTGATTGCCGCCTTAGTGTGCTACTATTTTGCATTTCTTAAAGGCCACGTTGCCTACCTTCTTCACTTTCTTCTGCTTACTTCAGGCTTCCACCCACTACTTACCTTGAATTCCTCACTCCTCAGTTTGTTAGCCCTTCATCCTAATTTGCGATTCAGGTTGAACTGATCTCGTTCTCTGTATCTCCAGTCCCAGCCAAAGTCAACGCATAGCAGTTACCGAAACGTGCACAAGTAGCCTGAAAACCAACAGATATAGCATAATCGAAGAATGCTCATATCTTAGAACAGCTAAGTTAGTTGCCGTGGTTGGCAGTTCAGTTCTCCTATACAGCGTTGGACGGAGCCATGTTTTTTATCCATTGTGTACATCATTCATGACATCTCCACGTCTGGGATCCATTATGCATGCTCCTTCTTGTAGTCACGCGCCAGCATTGGGTCACTGAGTTTGAATGAGCTTCGCTTTATTCCCTATCACCGATTAAGTTCTCGCTCCATTTGTCCGTAACTTTCGCCGCACGAATACTGCGGAACCTGCCGAAGGGCATCGGATGGCATGCGGAACATCGTGTTCACAATTGCTTTTGATAGTGACACTCTGTTCGGCGCCTGCTGGTTTGTTGTGGACCTGTACGGGAAAAGGGATCCCTCGATTACTTCCTGTATACTATTCTCTTATTTTAATTTGAAGAGCTCAATTGAACGTGTCCACAATTATAAGTGAAACGGCAATGCGCCAATCTGCTGTTTGGTGAATCGCTTGCAGAACTTTGTGGATGTTGCCGAAGTGAACTGCGTGCCGTTGTTGGTTACCAGTGTTTTTGGACACCCGAGACCATTAAATCTTTTCCGCCCTCCTGAGGCGAAAAAGTTCCTGCCGCGCTCTGTTAGCGGCATATTGGCACTGTTTCGAAAGCCTGAAGCTATCTACCATAAAGATGCCCGTCCCTCGCCTGCAGTGTCAGCGATCCTGTTTATGTGCACCGTAATCCAAACGTTGCCGGATGATAACAGCTGACATTTGTTCGCGTTCACTGGCAAGTCCCATGATTCGGACCACTTAGCCACAGTGCCTGGATCTTGAGACAACGCATCCCTATCTCCCCTGCTGAAACCTTTACGTCACCCGCAAACACATAAGAAGGGTCTCGAGGAGTGGAGCTAGATCATTAATAAACATAAGAAACAACTACGGTCCAAGCTATGAACCCTGGCAGACTCCGCTATGGGCAGTGCCCATGCTAGATCTGGCCTCATTAATTCTGGCATTGAACTTTCTGCCATAGAGGAAATCCGACAACCAAGTCATCAGCTGGGGATGCAACTCAGAGCAAGTCAGCTTTTATAGTAAAAATCGATGATTAACCGAGTCAAATGCTTTACTGAAGTCTAGATAGCAGACCTCTACTGGAATCCCGATACCGAGTTATCTCGTCCAAGAAACACAACGGATTCATAAGACACGACTTCTTTCTAACGAAGCCATGCTGTTCCACTCCAGTCAAGTTGTTAACAACTAAGTGCTCACAAATGCGGTGCCTAATGCGCCGCACGTCATCACCTTGCAGGCTAACCACTGTCCGTGACAGTGGTAGATAGGTGGTGCTATATCCCAGCTAGTTTGCAAATTATGTAGCCCAGCCGACGTCCCCCATGGCTCAGTGGCTTAAGCTGCTGGCTAGTTGGCATCTGCCTCTAGCGGTCATGGGTTCGATCCTCATTAGAGGACCGAGGGAATGCGCGCCACTGACGAGCCCCAATAGGGCGAAACGCGTCTGGCGCTTTTCCGGACTAGGCTCTGCTATGTAGCTTGTGAACTGTTGGGATGAAAGCCTTATCAAATTTACAACTAAAATCCTGCTACTTATGAGAACTCTGGATTTCTTTTTGCATTCTGAGCTCAACGATATTTAGCTCGCCTCTGCGAATTGATTGCTCTATTCCGATAACGTTTATAGTGTAGCTATTGTCTGAAGGCTCCAGATTCCTTAATGATTTTCCAACAACTATTACGTCTCCGAAACATTCGGGCAATTTTACGTCGTTACCAGCGGGGCTTATGCATGCTTTTAACTTGTCGCAAGGGGGGAACTTATCCAGCACGAGGCCAGACTTAAGCATGCTCCATCTTTGTTCTAACCTTGCCTGTTCTTGAGCAGGAACCCAAGGGAGCTGTAGGGCTCTGTTCCGCAAACGGCTAATATCAATTCGGCCAAACTTTCTCACAAGTTGAGGTTTCAATGGTAGCTTCTTAACGTTTACCGACAAGGTAAGAGTACAAGGCTTGCTCCTATCTATGGGGGCCTCCGTATGTATCTTTGTTACATTGTCATACCCAGCGATCACAACACCTAAAGTGGAGGGTGTAGTCCTAATTCGACATCTCATCGAAAGCACAACGTGTTGGACGAACGCATTCTCGTCTATCCATCTAACCAATTCCCACTCCAAAGTATCACGTTGATGGAATGCTCTTATACTACCTATGGAAGAGTTAGGTCACAAAGTATAACCAAATTCGTTGCAGCAACTGCCGCCTACTTTATGATGTTGCTGAGCTCCTTGTCATCTACTCTCATGGAGAAAAGGCTGCAGTACACACAGACGAAATTTTCCAACCTGTCATCTACCCTCAAAAACAAGAAACAGACTGAACCATTCGACGTTGCTATGGAAAATGTAGCTTCCCAGTGATTGTGATTGTTTTTAACGAGAAAAAGCACCCCTCCATCAACGTGTTACCCACGTCGACTCATTCTATGGCTGAAGAAATCCACCAGTAAGTCGCTAACTTGATCAGTGGACGACATCCAGGTTTCAGTCAAAGCGACAACGTCGGCGAGCCTGCAACGCAGCGTCAACTCCTCCCACTTATTCCTGACGCTACAACAGTTAGTGTACCATACTTTCAGACCTCTGCAGCTTTTTTCCTCTGATTAGCATTTCTTTATAGTTTCTGAACCATCCGTAATCCAGCAAGTTGGATTTCAGGGCGGTTAAAGGTATTTCGAAAGGTCCCACGAGACATTTCCTTTTGTGCCGCTTAATCTCACTTGCTTTGTTAACAGGACGCACGGTCGTATTTTCATAGGTATCTTTACATCTACTTTTCTTAACCGGCCAGCTATCAGTAAAATATGCCTCAAAAGCCGCTGGACTGATCTCAGTAGTGACCAACAATCCCTTACACTCAGCCTCCGAGATGTTCCCAACTGCTGACTGTGTTAGTGCAACCGCGGTTAGCCCCGCAGTTACCAATGATGATGATGATGATAATAATAGTAATATAATACGTATATTTTTCTTGGTGAGAGAAACTATGTCTATAGAGGCACCGGTCAATTTGTTCAGAAGAATCCATGCTTTTGCATGGGTGACATGCTTTGATGGAGTATTGGGATATACGTTTCATGTACTAACATTCTGGCGGATGGTTGAGGCCAAAGCCTAGTTATGAAAACATTGGGGTTTATACTACTGCTCGCCCACGTTTCTTCAGGGAAGAGTTCCTGGTCCCTTTCCTAATATTATTTTCGCCTATGGGAACGGAAATCAAGCTCTCTGATATCACCAAATTTTCCGCAGTCACACTTAGGTCACGTAACTTGTCTTTTAGTAACTCTGCGGAACAATCGTTTGAGGCGACGTCAAGTCGGAACCATTATCACTCGCAACTCTTATCATTTGACTGTCAACCACACGCGGAACCGAAACAATAGGCCCATTTACTGGTGCGGTGGGTACATAAGTTAGCGTGTCGGGTACCACGTGATATCGGCCCCTAGTCCGGCTTGCTAACAAACCGACACGGCTGTGCAGCAATTCACGGTACCTCGGGTTCTTGAACTCAACTAGGATGGGTCTTACAAGACCATTTTTATGCAAGTACTCACATTTCTCCAACTGCCCACTTGACGACGCGCTTGATACCAACATACGACGGTACCGTAACGTTACGGAGAATATCCTGCACCCGCCTTCTATCCAACTCCTGCTGAGCTTTTGCTTCTGGTATAAATGGTTGTAGATAAGGAGATTCCGTTGCCTGCCCATCGCAGTTTCCGTATTACGAATGCGACAATCACAGGACAAATAAACCCCATCACTTCTCTCGTAATTCATTAATGAGTAAACCCAGTTCCCAGATTAATTTTTCCGCAGCACCGAGCCTCTGCATGCAGTCCGCCAAGGAGTCCCGATGCGGATCCAACTGTCGTTCGCGAACTGTGCGAGAGTTAGTATCAGCTAGGCACACGCAATGGAACCATATCCACTTCAGGTTAGAGTGCCGCGCATAAATATCAATTGCGGATTGATCTAACATTG